GCCATCAACATGATAGGATGAACTTGATCAGCAACGATACTTAGGTATGTTGTGCTATTCAGATGTTGTTCCACATGAATTAAAGGGCCCAAATCATGCCAGGAAAACATGCCCCAAACCATAACACTGCCCCCACCAGCTTGAAGGGTTGTACTCATGCATGTGGGGTGCATGCTTTCATGCTGTTTCCGCCAAATTCTCACTCTGCCATCTGCATGATGCAACTGGAAACGTGATTCATTGGACCACATGACTTTTTTCCAATGCTCGACTGTCCAATCCTTGTGTTCCTGTGTGAATTGGAGACGTCTTATCTTGGTAACTGCAGACAGCACAGGTGTTTGAACAGGCCTTTGGCTTCCATATCCCATACGATGCAGTGTACGGCTAATTTGCCTACAAACGTCAGGTGGTCATAATAATCTGGCCACTCAGTGTATATGCCACATCTTTATTCAGTCGTCTGCCGGTTGACACTTGGGCTGCTTCCACCTTTTGGCTGTTGTGAATAATGTGCTATGAATATGGGTGTGCAAATACCTCTCCGAGTCTCTGCTTTTAGTTCTTCTGGGGATATGCCCCAAAATGGAATTGCTAGGTCATGTGCTAATCCCATTTTTAATTTTTTGAGGAACCACCATACTGTTTTTCATAGTAGCTGTACCAATTTATATCCCCACCCACAATGCAGAGGGTTTCAATCTCTCTGCATCGTCACCCACACTTGTGATTTTGTGTGTGTGCTTTGTAACAGTCACCCTAATGGGTGTCTGGGCATCTCACTGTGGTTTTATTTTCATTTCCCTGATACTTTGTGACGTTGAGCATCTTTTCGTGTGCTTATTGGCCATTGTATATCTTCTTTGGAGAAATGTCTATTCAAGTTCCTTGCCCATTTCTGAATCAGGTTGTTTGGTTTTTGGTTGTTGAGTTGTAGGACTTCTTTATATATTGTGGATATTAATCCCTTATAAGATAGATGATTTGCAAATATTTTCTCCCACACTTTTTAATCAATGAAAAACTAGCTTCCATATTCAAAGGGTCGTAGGTTAGGACCGAGCCTCTGCTTTTCATGCAGTTCCTCACTGTGTTCCATGACATTAGTGCCAAGATGGAAGGGCAGATTGTGTCCGCTCGCATTGGGGACCCCTTGGGACTATTTGGCTTGTGTCACAATTTGGAAGACAGAAACAATTCTTGGTTTATGCAACTCAGTGTAGGGAAATTCCAGAGAAAGCCCAACACAGTGCTCCTAGTTGGCCTTTGAATGGATGAAGGGGTGGCATAGGGTCACTGCCTCCGTCACTTCTCCTGGATGCAGAGGGAGAGAGTGGAGAGCTGTGAGGCAGGGGCGAGCTTAGACGGAGCTGTGGGGGAGGAAGGAACGTTGCTCTGCTCTCTAGGCTCTCTCAGCTGGTCCAATAATCAAATAGACATGAGACAGGTTAGCAAGAGAAAATAACCAAGTTTAACGTATGCACACGTAAGGGAACTCTGCACACGTAAGACAGAGACCCCACACGCATGAGAGGTTCCAAGACAGAAAGGGAACATGGGTGTATAAGACATCCTAAGCTAACGATGACCTTGGGGCTTCAGAGGGGAGGAAGGTCACTGGAGGACGATTAGAAGAGCAGATGATCAGTAATTAGAGGTTTGCTCTGCCGTACAGATAGGTCATAAAACATTATCTCTGATCATCTCTAACTCTAGGCAAAGCCCCTAATTCAAGTTCTAGGTAGGTAAGAGGGGAGGGGCAGAAGTTTCTTTTGAGCCCACAGACCTCAGAACAATCCACACACCACTCAGGCACATCTTCGTCCTGAACCCCCACAGCGCCCTCCCACTTTGTGTCATATGTTGAATGAACTTTATGCCCTACGTCAGGTTTCCTTTTATTTATTTTATCTTAGAGGGAGAGAGGAACATTGATTTGTTGTTCTACTTAGGTATGCATTCATTGGTTGCTTCTTGTATGTACCCTGACCCTGACTGGGAGGATCAAACCCACAACCTTGGCTTATGGGGACGGCGCTCTAACCCACTGAGCTACCCAGCCAGGGCTGCCCTTGTCTTTTATAGAATAGGTGCTGCTTCTGGAGAATGGGTGGAGGGAGAAGCTGTAAAGACTACCTCTAACTTAATGATCTTTTACAACAATGAGGGCTGTTTCTGCCTCTATTTCTTTCTTTACTTTGTTAATTGGTGTTGTTTCCTGCCCTCCCCATGCCCTTATAGGCAGCATGCTTTTGATAAACCTCACAATTTACTCCGTAGGAAACACACTTTCAAGGTGACAATGTGCCAGGAGTGGAGCAAGAATGGGCATTGCCCAGAGAGGCTAGAACGAAGCGGATGGAGTCACTGATGAGGCTGACGGGTTAGGATGAGCACTTTTATTTCTGTGAGGCCCGGTTGCCTTGTGTTGGTGTTCTAACAGCGTTTTCTTAGATCCCGTATTTGCCTCTTTGGCATCCATTGCTCACAGAGCCAAGCGAACGGCGAAGGTTGTTTATGTCTCCCCTGTGACGCGGCTTTTATGGGCATACAAAAATTACATTACAAATCCTCCAACCAATCCTGATCAACATCCCCAGCCACCTCCTTTGTCTCTCTCATACACACACACACACACACACCAAACCAATATTTGCTCTGTACTAAATCACCCCAGGACCAGGGAGCGATCATCTTAATGCGCACAGCTTGCCAACATTATTCAAACTATCCATTCCTAAGCGGCTTACCCTGTTCTCCATGTCTCTCCTACAGAAACTCTGATAAATACTCTGGGCCCTGCTTTCTTCTTTGCCCTTTCTGCCCTTGGCTGGCCCTGGTGCTTCCCCATGTGAGCCTGGAGAGTGTACCATGACTCCTGCTTCTAGGGACCGGTGACAATAATTTTTTCATGGCCATCATTCTGCCGTCTGCATGTCTCACCACACTTGATTAATCCAATTCTGGGCACAGATTTTAGAACAGTAAAGTGTCAGCATTTTTTTCGAAGTGTAATGATGAAAACTTGGGTATGCCTGGATGTTAGGAACCACAGAGTTGGTTTGGAGGTGCTTCCCAGCATTTAACTTCTTTTAAATATCTTGGGAATGTCCCCACCATGAAGGTTCCACATAGAACAGCAGTTCTCAACCTGTGGGTCACGACCCCTTTGGGGGTTGAACGACCCTTTCACAGGGGTCGCCTAAGACCATAGGAAAACACATATAATTACATATTGTTTTTGTGATTAATCACTATGCTTTAATTATGTTCAATTTGTAACAATGAAAATACATCCTGCATATCAGATATTTATATTACAATTCATAACAGTAGCAACATTACAGTTATGAAGTAGCAACGAAAATAATTTTATGGTTGGGGGTCACCACAACATGAGGAACTGTATTAAAGGGTCGCGGCATTAGGAATGGCTGGTTCCCAGGCACAGCAGCGACAGCAGCACCTGCGACAGTACAGGCTTTGCATCCAGGTCTGCGGCCGCAGGGTCCCCCGGGCAGGTGGTGGTCGTGATTTTGGCTCCAGTCTGGCTGATGTTTCCCTGCTCTCACCTGTGCCCCAAGCAGGTTCTCCAGATTTCTAAGTGTTTCTGTGAACTGCCCATTGTCCTTGGATAAAGTCATTTGCTGCTTAAAAGTAAATCACTAGGCTTTTATTGCTTATAATCAAGAACCCTGATTGATACAATCTATGATTATTTTCTTTCTTTCCTCATTTCTGTCTCTTTTCCTTATTTTCTTCCTTCCTTCCTCCTGTCTTCCTGTCTTTCTCTCTGGAGAATGTATGTATTAAATACTTGTATAATTTTAAATATACACACACACTATATGTATATCTATCTATCTATCTATCTATATCTATATCTATATAGATATAGATAGATAGATAGATATACATACAGTGTGTGTGTATATTTAAAATTATATAAGTATTTAATACATACATTCTCCAGAGAGAAAGACAGGAAGACAGGAGGAAGGAAGGAAGAAAATAAGGAAAAGAGACAGAAATGAGGAAAGAAAGAAAATAATCATAGATTGTATCAATCAGGGTTCTTGATTATAAGCAATAAAAGCCTAGTGATTTACTTTTAAGCAGCAAATGACTTTATCCAAGGACGATGGGCAGTTCACAGAAACACTTAGAAATCTGGAGAACCTGCTTGGGGCACAGGTGAGAGCAGGGAAACATCAGCCAGACTGGAGCCAAAATCACGACCACCACCTGCCCGGGGGACCCTGCGGCCGCAGACCTGGATGCAAAGCCTGTACTGTCGCAGGTGCTGCTGTCGCTGCTGTGCCTGGGAACCAGCCATTCCTAATGCCGCGACCCTTTAATACAGTTCCTCATGTTGTGGTGATCCCCAACCATAAAATTATTTTCGTTGCTACTTCATAACTGTAATGTTGCTACTGTTATGAATTGTAATATAAATATCTGATATGCAGGATGTATTTTCATTGTTACAAATTGAACATAATTAAAGCATAGTGATTAATCACAAAAACAATATGTAATTATATATGTGTTTTCCGATGGTCTTAGGCGACCCCTGTGAAAGGGTC